TCCGGGGGTACCAGCGTTGATCGCGACTAGCCCGTTCTTCACCCGGGGCTGCGGTTTGCCTGCCTTAAGTGGGGCTAGTAACCCTGTCCACCCCACTCTCCGTAGCGATGGTGGGGGCTGGACTGGTTCCGTTTAGCACGCGTTCACGCTTTCTTGGGTTACATCTTTTTAGGAATCTTATTAATGTCTTTCTCCACCCTGTAGGTAGGTAAACTGAGGCCCTGAGAGGGCAGGGACTTGTGCACTGGTACCTGAGGACTCCATTTTATAGGTGCTCTCAGAGGCATTGTCCCCTTAAGGTGGTCATGACCCAGGAGAGAAGGCAACCAATCCCAATACCCCAGCTCCCTATCCTGGCTTTGCTGCTGGTCGATGTGTGGGGACACATAGCTGTCCTTCTGGACCTCGGTTGCCCCATCTGTAAAGAAAGGAGTTCCATTCTGTCATCCAGGATATCACTGTGGCTCTTCAGCCTGAGACGGGGGGCAGTTGGGAACAGCCAGGGTGCCCACTGCTGGGCTCAGTTCCAGCCTGGAGACCAGTTTTCTGGCCTCCCAGTTCTCCTCTGGAGGTCCAGTGGCTGGAGTGTAGGCAGCAGGTCAGAGGGACAGGTGCCCACAGCCTGCGGCCTGACCAGCCATGGGCCCTACACTTATCCAATCAGGCTGTTCTCTGTGGTTTCCTGCTGGGCTCTGCTCCCTGCCCGCAGCCAGGCCTGTGGCCCTGGGCTTGCCCCACAGCCCTACCTGAAAGGTTCTGGGAGGACACAGGGAGTTTTGAGTGTTCTTGGGAGGAGCAGTCAGTGTTTCTGGGCCCCCCCATCCCGTCAGCTGGCCGCAGTCCAGGTCTTAGCATTGCTCACAACTCAGTGGATATGGAGAGACCTACCCATACATATTAAGGACAAAACACAAAGTTGTCACGCTTCCTTGGGCAAGATGCCAGACCCTGAGTGGCCTGGAGATCCCCTCTGATTCTGACCTTGGTCACAAACAGGTTCAGACACCTACCTGTCTTAGAGCCTGGCTGAAAACCGACTTCTGATTTTCAAGATGGCTCAACCCTTCCACACTGTCCCTGGTCACAAGGGAATCCTAACAGAAGTGTGGTCCCTCTTCTATCCATCAGCCCAGGTAGCATTCACATGGCGTCTGCTGTAAGCTGGGCTCTGCAGGACCACATGCTCTCGTGGACTTCACAGTGTGGCCATGACTGAAACCCAGAGAGGCACCTGGTGTTTGGGGGCACTACACTCTGTACACAGAGATTAAGGGAGGCTTCCTAAGGGAGTGGATGCTGGGGTTTTGAATGCTCTGCAGGAGTTTGCTGATGGAGAAAGGAGGGAGAGACATTCCAGAGAGATCTGTGAACAAGAGGATCCTGGTCTTTTTCTGGGGGCAGGGCTGCTGAGGCTGTACTGTAGTGAATGTTGGATTCAAACCTTCTTGCTTCTGTCGTGGGACAGGCAGTGAACACAACAGTGGGCTGGGATTCCCACTCAGATCCACTGCCCACTAATGGAATACAAGATCATGGTTCACCTTCCTGCTCTCCATTATCGGCCAACTTTAAGCAACTGCTGTATGCAGAGCCTGTCCTAGAAGCTCTAGGTTGCCCAAGTGTCCCTTCTGGGTGGGTGAAACCTGTGCTGTAAAATGAGAGGGCAGCTGGCCAGGTCTGACTGTGGGAGGTTACTGGGCTGTGGCCCCCAGGTGGGGGATGGGAATGGGGACATCAAGGCATTTCCTGGTGGTGGTGGCAACTGAGCTGGAAGGATGGGGTGGGGGTTTTGGAGAGTGGGAGGGGTACTCGGAATGCCCAGGGTAGCCTGAACAGAAACCCAGGGAGGCAGGAGCGGGGAGGGCCTGTGGTGGCTGGGCCCACCCTGACCTGCTCCTTGGGGGTGGTGACACCCTGAGGGAATCAACCCGCCACCCACACATAGGAGCTCCCCATGCACTGAGCCTTGTGGTGGGAAGGGGAAGGTGGGGTGGTGCGGAGGGGGTCACTGCTGGAGCCTACCTATACTACAGCTGTTCCCTGTGCCTCAGCTGCATCTGCCCCCTCAGGGAGTCCCCAAGGCTGTTGTGGAGGGGGTGGCATTGCTAGGCAGGTCTGGCTGCCCTTGGGTCTACGCACATGCGCAGGATTTCTGCTGTGCCAGTGGGGTGGGCTTCTCCATAAACCAACCTGTGGACCTCTGCCCCCACCCATCCCCACACACATGCGCACACCCCTCCAGGCCCTGTAGGGGAAAGGAAGGAGGCTTGTCCCCCAGTCTCCCTGCTCCCGCTGCTCCAGCCCCCAGGAGGAGCCCTGCCAGGCAGCTGGGAAGGGGAACAAGGACTGACTGGAGCCCCCTCCCCCACCTCTTGCGTGGGTGCCTGGAAGCCATTAGGGGTCTGGGTGGCGCCTGCCCTGCCCCTGCGCCTCCGGCTTGGGATTCCTGGAAGGAATCAGCACCCGGGTCCTGGCCAAGCCCCACGCCAGGCCTGGCAACTTCAGAGGCAGAGGATGTGGCAGTGCCCCTCCCTGCCACATGGCTACCTTAGGGGCTACAGGAAGGGCCCAGCAGACAGGCTGGGCCAGCACCAGCGGGAGGGCTGTGGGGCTGCCACTGGGTTTCCGCCACCCCTCCCCCTCTCCGCAGAGGCACACATTGTTTTTCTTTTCCAAGAACTTCTCCATGTGGAGTTGGGCCAGGAAGATGGGGAGAGGAGGCACGCGCGTGTCTGTGTGTATATGTGAGTTTGCGTGTCTGCTTCTAGGGATGAGGACATCTTTGTGTGTCCTATGGCTAGGCTGACATGATGTGTGTCTGCAGGTGAGTCTGAGTCTACAGGTGAGCTTCTCCGTGGACCATGTAGTTGTGTGTGCACGTGGGTCGGTCTCGTGTCTTGCTGGTGTGTTTATGTGCATGGGATTGCATGTGTGTCTGCAGAGGTGTCTGTGTGCACAGATGTCTTGGCACCAGTGGGCCTCAAGGCCAGCGACCCCATTGCACAGGCAAAGACCCTGATCACAAGGGCACTTGGCCTGCTAGGGATCCCTCTGGAACTGGGGCCTGGCTCTGTGTGGCTGCATAGGTGGGATTGGCTCAGGACAAGTGTTTGTGTGAGAAGGTAACACCACATAAAATACTAAAATGTCCCAAACTTGGGACTCCTAAAATTCCCAGGCTCACACCTCTTGAGCATCATTGTCTGGGCACTAGGGCCAGGCAGCTGCATTTCAACTGTCCAGATAAATCTGAAGCAACTTCATGAAGAAGTGCCGAGCTCCAGCCAGGCATGGTGGCACTGCTGCAATCCCAGCTACAGGAGGCTGAGGCAGGAGGATCACAAGTTCAAGATCAACCTGGGCAACTTAGTGAGATCCTGTCTCAAAGTTTTAAAAATAAAGGGCCAGGGCTCAGTGGAAGAGGACTAGCCTAGCATGTGCAAGGCCCAGGTGAAAGCCCCAGTACTGCCAGCCGTGGGGGGAGTAGGACTTTGCTTCCTTACTCCTCCCCAATTGTACAAGGAGGGGAACCGAGGCCTAGAAAGACCCAGAGGTTGGTGGCAGAGCTGGGCCTAGAGTACCTGTCGGGTGAAATAATAAACAAACAGCCAGAGGACTAGAGGTACATAGTAGGGTCCCTGAGGAGCCACGACACAAAAGCCAGAGATTTAAAGTGGTGGTGCAAGACCTGGGACGCCTGGCTGTGCTGTCGAAGGCAGGAGCAGGCAGGGCGGCAGAGCAGCATTGAGGCCAGCATTTGCCTGGGGAAAGAATGGGAAGGGGCTGTTGGGTTTTGCAAGGGAGAGATCAGGACCATGGAGCGTGAGCCCGGTTAGAAGACAGGGTGGTGCAGATGACGCTCAGGGGCTCTGTGGGCTGTGGCTCCTTTGCCACTGAAGACCTGCTGGAGCTGGAGGCCCGGGGGCGGAGTGAGCCTGGGATTGAAGCGGGAGAGGGGTTCTGGCTTTGGGTAATGAGCGAGGGGGCATGAGCGCCAGGCTTGGGTCGTTAAACAGCCACTCCAGCTATTGCTGTGGACAGTGGATTTGAAGGAGTCAAAGTAAGAGGGAGATGGCCAGGCGCCGGCCGCAGGAGAAGGGCCCAGGCTGCTGGGTGGCAGCAGCACTGAGGGGCACCCCTGGGAACTGACCAGCTGGGCTGAGAGGAGCAGCCAGAGGGGAGGAAGGACAGAGTCCTGGAAGAGGCATGCAAGCAAGAGGAGCGCTGGTGTGCCAGGAGCTAGAGAGGACATGGTGACACAGTGGGGTGGCCCATGAGAGGCCAGGGAGTGGATGGAGGCAGGACAGCAAGTGTGGGCCACTCTGTGTGGCCTTAAAAGGGAGAAGAGAGGGCAGGGACGGGGGAGTGCCAGGATGGACTGCAGCAGGGGGAAGGCCCCAGAGAGGACAGCATTAGCAGGGTGGGGTGGGCGGGGACGGGCCTTGGACCCAAGGAAGGAGACCTCCCATGTCCTCTCAGGCTGGGGGGGCGGGGCACAGCGCTGTCAGCTTCCCATTCACAGTAGATACACCGCCAACAGCGAGGGCTGGAGACTGGAAGGAGGTGGAGGCCCAGAGTGCACACAGTTTGATGTGGAGTCCCACCACAAGGGCAGGTCTTAGGGGCAGTATGACTAGCCTGAAAGACTGATGTAGTAAGGCATGTTAGGGACACAGAAGGACAGGCATCTCATTTATTTAAAAGGAGGATATTAGCAGGTAGTGGCGCACACCTCTAATCCCAGAGGCTCAGGAGGCTGAGGCAGAAGGATCGCGAGTTCAAAGCCAGCCTCAGCAACTTAGCAAGGCCCTAAGCAACTCAGCAAGACCCTGTCTCTAAATAAAATATAAAAAAGGGCTGGGATGTTGCTCAGTGGTTAAGTGTCCCTGAGTTCAATTACTGGTACCAAAAAAAAAAAAAAGGGTGTTGTGTCCATGAATTGCAGAGCCAGTGCTGGGCAAAGCGGGAGGCTGGGTGAGATACTGAGGTGTTTGCCACCATGAGGAGGTCAGACAGGGCAGCTCTAGTGGAGAAGCCACCCCAGAACCCCCTGGTCTAAGGTTGTTTCCGTCACTGTCGCCAGCCAGTGCCTTTATTCAACAACTCTGCACTGGTGTTTGGATCTGAATTCCTAGACATGGTAATGGCCATGACTTTCACCTCAAGTCTGAGAGGAACACAGGAGGTAATTCACAGATAGCCCTGGGCATGGTACCCGCTGCCATCAGCACTATACAAATGGTCATTGCTATGGTGCTTGAACTACAACAGTGGCCAGGACCCAGCCCCTGTCCTTAGCAGCCTGGCAGCCTGGGATGAGGTGGGGAGCAGACTCGGGTAAATGGTCCAGCCAGCTGGTTAGTGTGGTGAGGGAGACGGGCAGGGCTGATGGGCCTGGCCTGAGGGGTGGCCAGAAGGCTTCTGGGAGGAGGTGATAGCTCGAATGAGTTGCAGGATGAGAGCCCAGGGGTGTGTGAAGGTGGGCCATCTTACAAACCATTGAGATGTTCCCGTGGAGGTCAAGGACAGCAAACGCAGGTTTCAAATGAGCTGAGCTGCTGCAGGAAGGGACTCGGGGTGCATCTGCAGGCCCTTGCTTGCCAGGCCTGCCTCTCTCACTGGTTGCCCTGGAACACACCTCCCTCCTCCCGCCTCTGCCAGGGCTGTTCCCGCGCCAGTCCGGCTGTTGTGGCCATCTTATAGACCTACGATGGTCACAGCCTAATGAAGATTGCCTTCTCCCTCAGGTACGAAGAGGCATCTCTACCTGATGGCCTGGCAAGCAGTGGGTCGCCGTGACCATCATGCACAGTGATAACGCCAGGCGTCCCCCGCGCCGCTTCTGAACCCTGCCACAAGTTCTAGCCCAGCACTCTCCCTGGCCGCGCCATGAGCCACGGGCCAAGTCCCCGACTGGCCGAGTCCCCGCAGCTATCCAAGGGCAGCCTGCTGACCATCCTGGGTAGTCCGTCGCCCGAGCGCATGGGGCCAATCGACTCGCTGCCCCCTACGCCGCCCAGCGGCACGCCCTCGCCGGGGCCGCCGCCCGCGCTGCCCTTGCCACCGCCGTCCACGCTGCTGGCCGACGGGGACTGGGAGAGCCGCGAGGAGCTGCGCTTGCGGGAGCTGGAGGAGGCGCGCGCACGAGCGGCGCAGATGGAGAAGACCATGCGCTGGTGGTCCGACTGCACGGCCAACTGGCGCGAGAAGTGGAGCAAGGTCCGCGCCGAGCGCAACCGCGCGCGTGAGGAGGTGCGCCAGCTGCGCCAGCGCCTGGACGCGCTCACCAAGGAGCTGGCAGGTGCGCGGCGCGAGCGCCAGGAAGCGCAGGGAGAGTGCGAGGCGCGGGGCCGCGAGCTGGCGCTGCTGCGGGGCTCCCGAGGAGGCGCCACGGACAAGACACACGAAGACCCAGAGCCAGATCCCGAGCGGGAGCATGAGCCAGTGCGCGACGTCGGGGCGGAGAGGCCCCAGGGCAGCCAGGTGCGTGGAGGCCCGGTTTGAGAGGAGGTGCCAGCCTTTGGCCTGGGTCTGGAAGTGAGTGAGGCTGTTGGACCTAGCCAGAAGTCAGGGCTGCAGGGCTCCAAAAGGAGCTGGTGAGGACCAGGCCACCTGGGTGGTGGGGGTGGTCTGCAGGTTGGGCTCTGGATCACCTCCTTCCGTTGATCCTCAGGGGAGAGAATCCCAGGTTCTATTGGTCCCTCTAGTCCCACACCTGAGAAGTCAACAGAACCAGACGGCACTGAAACTGCAAAGGTCAGAGGCTGAGAGGGCCTGGGGGGTTGGGGGAATGGCAACAACTGCCCCCTGGCCCAATGCCTATGCCCAGTGCCTCTGCCTGCCAAGCACTGAGTGCACATTACTTAGTCTATCCCTGCAGTCCTTCTAAGGACCCGGGGCACAGAAGGGTCAGAACCAAGGTCCAAGCTGGTGATTAGAGTGGGTTTGAACCCAGGCCATGTGGCTCCAGATGCTGACAGTCAGTATGGCTGGAGCATGCATGGTCAGAGCCGCTGGGTCAGCAGGCCTTTTCCAGAAGGCCACCTGAGGCAGGGTCCTGGTTCTGCTCCCCACTTCCAGACCCAGACAGCCCCTTTCCAGACGAGCATCTTGGCAGCCCCTTGTCTGGGCCCAGCCCCCTCTCTGTGGGCTAGAGTGGGCACTGCCACCTCTGGTGACAGAGGCCCCTCTCCCCAAGGTGGCCTGGTGTTTGGAGAGGTTCCAGTTCCTTTCAGGGCCTCATAGTGCTGCTCCTGCCTAATACTCATTCTGGTTACGATCACAGTCAGGAGGCTGTGGGGACCGGGGGCAGAGCCCTGGGTCTGCAGTCTGAGCTTACCTTCTTGACAGCCACTTCCATGTCCTTGTGATCCAGAACAAGTCCCTTCCCTCCCTGTTTCCCAATTTGTGAAAAGGGGATTTGGGCCAGGTGACATCCAGGGCACCCCACTCACGATAATCTGAGATCCAGGAGGAGTAAAAAGATCACCCCTTGGGGACTCCCCAGAGCCACTGTCCTCTGCGTGCCTCGGTGTCTGCCCCTAAAAAATAGGACCAGAGAGCTGGGACTCCTCTGAGGGGATCTTCCTAAGCCCCGGGAGGAACCTGAGCCTCGGCATTGGTTCTGACCGGTGCCATTGTACGTCTGTGTGTGTCCAGTGACCAGGAAACGCAGCCCCTTTCCTGGGGAGTCTCCCAGGATACGGGAAACCTTGGTGTCTGCCTGCAGTTCCAGGAGGTGAAGGGTGTCCCTCTTCCCAGAGACTCAAGGCAGGCTGCAGGAGAGGAAACCGGGCCCAGAGACACTGTGTGACTTCCACGCTGATCCCAGACCAGGGTCTAGAGAGGCCAGGGGAAAGGCCTCCAGGGCCAGAGTTCAGGCCACTGCTGTAGCCCCCACCTCGGTCCCCACAGGACCTGGAGCTGGTGGAGACCCTCCTGAAGAACAGACCAGAGGAGCCTGAGGGCTGCTGGGAGGCTCGCAGCCTGGGGTCTGGGGGCCCTCGGGGCAGCTCCAGCCGCCAGGAGCGCAGCCGGCTACCCTGGGAGGACGCCGCCAGCACCGAGGAGGACACCTCCAAGCTGACCGCCCTGCGCCTGCGGCTGGACGAGTCCCAGAAGGTGCTGCTCAAGGAGCGAGAGTGAGTGTGGGGTAGGCAGGGACTGGGGGCTGGGCCTGAGAGCCGCTAGGGTGCAGGTGCTGTTCAGGCACGAGCCCCGGGTTTTGGAGGACCCACAGCAGGGTTTTCTCGATTCATCCTAATAATACATCTCACATCTGCTCTGGACCGGGCGCTGTGCTCAGTCCTGACCACACGGCCATAAATAAGACAAGTCCCTGCCTCTGTGGAGTGTGTGTTCTGGTCGGGGAGAGAGTGATAGAGAGCTGTGTAGCCTGCACAAGGCCCTGGGTTTGGCCGCCAGCTCCACAGTGGGTAGAAGAACTAAACGCCTTTGTAAGAGTGAAGGCTGTGGTGATGCTTCTGCAGAGGTCATTGCCTCTTTGGCCAAGAAAACCACCAAAAGCTAGGAGAGGGGCCTGAAACAGGTACCTTCTCACAGCCCGAGATAGGACCACCCCTGCCAGCATGTGACCTTGGACTTCCAGACTCCAAATCTGAGAGACAATAAATTGCTGCTGTTTAAGCCAAAAATACCAAACAAATGAAAATCCACCTAATGGTAATGGAGGTAGCTCAATGGTAGAGCACTTGCCTCACATGCACAAGGCCCTGGGTTCAATCCCCAGCGCTGCCCACCACCCCGCAATGTCCTAACTGAAACAGAAATACAGGAGGTGTCTGCCTGCCCCTTCCTGTTCCTTCCCCAGGGATAAGATGGCCCTGAGCAGGAACATTGAGAAGCTGGAGGGGGAGCTGAGCCAGTGGAAGATCAAGTATGAGGAGCTGAGCAAGACCAAGCAGGAGATGCTCAAGCAGGTGAGTTGGGGACAGCGGGTCTTCCTGGAGGAGGCAGAAACACGCTGTTGAATCTTGGGAGTTGGGATGGGAGACAGATTAGAACTCATTCCTCAGTGGTTCTGGGTATCAGGGTACCTTCAGGAGGTCACCTGTGGAAGCCAGGGGCAGGGAGGCGGCAATAACCAGACACATAATGTCATGAGACACAGGAGTGGCGGGCCAGGAAGGGCCTCTCTAAGGTGACATTTGAGGCCAGACCTAAAGGGGTTAGAAGAAGCCATCCTTCAGAAGGGATGGGAGCAGCTGTTCACAGCAAATGCAAACATCCTGTGGCCAGAACAAGCCTAGAGAGTGAAGGACACAGAGAGGGCCACTGTGGCTGGAGAGTAGTGAGAGGTGAGGCCTCAAAGTGGTCCAGATCTCACAGGATGAAGGGTGAAGGAATGGAGTGTGATGTTCCTTGGGTGCCTGGGGTGTGCTGGATCTCGTGGCAGTCGAGGGAACTGTTCCTCACATCCCCATATTACAGAGGAGGAAACTGAGGTTCCGTAGAGAGGAGTGACCACTGCAATTAGGGGTCTCAGGAAAGGCTGGGCTGCCACTTCTGCCTCCTGTGCAGACCTCCGTGGCCACCAGGGGGCACAGCCAGCCAGGGAAAGCCAGGCTGGATCCACTGGGTTCCCAGAGGTAGGAGGACCTGGGACACTGCACAACCTGAGGCTGTGCCCTGGAGGAGTCTGGTCGTCCCTTAGAACCTCTTAAGGAAGCTCCTAAAAGTCCAAGAAGCAGACCCCCTCCCTTCCTTCCTGAATTATCCATCATCTTAGGGGCTTGAGTACAGAACCCTACCTCATTAATCTCCTCAACTTGTGAAGAGTAATCTTTTGAAGAAACGTGAGTGAAACACAAACACACAGTTTAGCAGAAATTCTCTCTCTTGCATCCGGGACCTTTCGCTAGGCGTGATTAAGTCTCATTGTCAAGCTCACGTGGAGCAGCAGCGTGCCGGGTCCCACTGGTGGCCAGCAGGGAATGGTAGTATTTTAAAAGCACCCCAACCGATTCTGATGCACCTGCTTGCAGAGCCGTGTTTAGATCAGTGCATGCTGAGGGTTGCTGTACCTAGGCCATGCAGGGACACAGGATGGACGTGTTGCCTGTCCCCTCAACTTGCAATTCCAGTGGGCCACTAGGCCGGGTGGCCAGGAGAGGCCTCCTTAGGGTGGGGGCCTTTAGGCTATGGCCTGGGGATAAAAAGAGCCAATCCTGCGAAATACCTCAGAGTGTTCCAGGGACACATGCAGAAGCCGAGTGATAGGCAGGAACTCTGTGAGTTCGAGTAATCGAGGGGACAGGGGTGGGAAATGAGGCTGAGGAAGGCGGATGAGACTCCCATTGTGCAGGACACCTGAGATCACAGGAGTTGGATTTGTCCCAAGTACCCGCTGGGAGCCATCAAAGGAGATTTTGGTGTTGCAAGGGGCATCCTTTGGAATCTGGCCCTCTTCAAAGCTCCCGCTGGGGCCCTGTCCTGGAGAATGGCGAGGAGGCCACGGTGAACCCTGGGGGGCTCCATGGCAAGGGGCAGGAAGCGGGCGACAGTGGAAATGGCAGAGTGGTCAGAGTCAGGGCCTGTCTGGACACCTGTCCCCACGGGGCACGGCTAAGGCTCTCTGCTGAGCACCTCCCCAGGCCTGTTAGGGATGGATCCCGCGGTTTTCTTGTAAACAGGCTGGGCGGTGTCCTTGCAGCTCAGCATCCTGAAGGAGGCGCACCAGGACGAGCTGGGCCGCATGTCCGAGGACCTGGAGGATGAGCTGGGCGCACGCTCCAGCATGGACCGGAAGATGGCTGAGCTGCGGGGCGAGGTGAGGGGCCCCCCATCGGCAGTCAGGCCTGCCCTGGGGGGGTCAGCCACGCCCCCAGGATCCCCCAGTCTGCAGGGATCCCCCCAACGCTTCACAAAGACCAGAAGCGCCCCACATCCTGCGCACGTGGAAGGCGCTCGGCTTAATATAGCGGCTGCAGCTGGATCTGACTTCCTGCAGCCAAAACCGGCTGGGGGTGGTGGGGGCCTCCAGCCCCCTCCCCCAGGGGCTCACTCCGTCCCTGCTGTCGCAGATGGAGCGTCTGCAGGCCGAGAATGCGGCCGAGTGGGGCCGGCGGGAGCGGCTGGAGACCGAGAAGCTGGGCCTGGAGCGGGAGAACAAGAAGCTGCGCGCTCAGGTCGGCGACCTGGAGGAGGCCCTGGCCCGGCGGCGGCGCCAAACAGCCAGCGCCCTGGACTGCGACCTGCGGGCCAGCCAGGCAGCTCTCTTCGAGAAGAACAAGGTGCCCATCCAGAACCCCCACTGTAACAGGTTGAGCGTCCCTAATCCACAAACCTGAAATCTGAAAGGCCCACCAGCGTGGAGCAAAGTCCACCCCTGACTTGATGGGTCCCAGTCAAAACACAGGTCCATCAGAATATTGTGTAAAACTATGTTCAGCCTCTGTGAGTGAGGCATGAGGTGTAGAAGAAACACAAGTTAATTTCATGTGCAAGCTGTGTGTGGTGGTGCGCACCTGTAAACTCAGCAACTCAGGAGGCGGAGGAAGGAGGATCCCAAGTTCAAGACCAGACTCAGCAACTTAGGGAGACCTTGTCTCAAAATTTAAAAATTAAAAGAGATAGGGAGGTCGCTCAGTGGTAAAGCACCCCAAAGTTCAATACCTAGTACCAAAACATAAAATAAAATAAAATTCATCTTTAGGCTTAGGTCCCATCCCCCAAATACCTCATTGCATACATATAAAGATTCCAAAATCTGAAATATAAAACACTTGGTCCCAAGTATTTAGGATGAAAGAAGCTCAACCTATAGCTGCATTTATTGAGTACCCCCTGTATGCTAGACCACTTGGTATAGCAGCCACATTTATTGAGCACCTACTATGGGTCAGTCCCATACATAGTAGCTGCATGTATTAAGCACTTGCTTAGGTGCTGGGGACTTAGCAGTGAGCAGACAGGTGTGGCTGACCTCTCTGCCCCTCCCGGAGCTGGTAGCTCAGGAGATGCAGGCATCATTCTCACTGTCATATATGCTCATACCAGTCACAGCTCCAGAGCTGTGGCAGGAAGAGGGGATACCCAGGAACCTAGCTTAGGCCCAGGGTCCTGGAAAAGCTCCCCGCAGTCAGTGAGGTTTGAGCTGAGTCTTCAAGAAGAGCAGAGGTTAACTGGTAAGCTGACTTGGTGGGGAGGAGAGAACTGGAGAATAATGAGGATGATCAGGGCAGCACCGCTGGAGGGGGTGAGCAAGGGATCCAAGGTACATGAGGCAGGAGGTGAGCTGGGCACAGTGGCTTACACCTGTAATCCCAGTGACTCTGGAGGCTGAGGCAGGAGGATCAGGAGTTTGAGGCCAGCCTGAGCAACTTGGCAAGACTGCCTCAAAATAAAAAAGGGATGGGGATGTAGCTCAGTGGTAGAGCACCCCTGGGTTCAATCCCCAGGACCACAGAACATAAGTAAGTAAATAAAGCGGGAGGCAGGTGTGGGCAGGCTGCCCTTCCTCATGCCCACTGTGCTGGGTGGAGGGCCCAGGGAGGCCGTTGCTGCGCCCAAGGAAGCGAGAAATGACGGAGACAGGAACCAGGCTCAGGTTGGCAGAGAGAAAGGATGATGCCGTTTGCAGAAGGGAGAACAGATTCCAGCGCCGAGGGCTGGGCACCTTTGCCGGCTGGTCCTCCTCTTCCGGGCACTCCTACCTGTGACCTCTTTTCCTCAGACGCCCTCTCCCCAGCTTCAGTCACCCTCAGACCCGGGTTTGTAAATGCTTCGGTCCCTCCTGAGAAATCCTGCCCTGCGGCTCCAGCATCTGCTGGGCATCCCCGGGGCATCTCAGTTCCTCGGCTAAAGTGGAGCCGGGTCCTTCACAGCCCAGCCTTCTCCTTCCTGGCCTCATCTCCCGAGCCTCCAGGCCTCCCGAGATGGCACCTCCACTGCTCTCCAGACCATAATGCCCATGTGTTGGCAGCAGGAAGAGGAGACACTGACCCCCAGGACTCCCTGGCCCAGCGCCCAGTGACACTGGGTCCTCCCTGTCCCCGCCCCCACCCCCAGGAGCTGGCCGACCTGAAGCACGTGCACGGCAAGCTGAAGAAGCAGTTTCAGGAGAAGGTGGCGGAGCTGGCGCACGCCAACCGGCGGGTGGAGCAGCACGAGGCTGAGGTGAAGAAGCTGCGGCTGCGGGTGGAGGAGCTCAAGAAGGAGCTGGCCCAGGCCGAGGACGAGGCAAGTACCGCGGCCGAGCAGCTGTGGGTCCCCAGGAGGAGTGGGACTTCGGGGGCCTGCTGTGCCCATGCTGGGGTCCTAGGGGCTGGCCAAGCTCCTCCGGTGGTGGCTAGGGAGTGACAGGTGGATGCATGGACAGGAGGGCGGGGCCAGGAGGGTGGGGCGAGAAAGACCCAGGCAATGGCAGGTGAGTGGTGGACAGCCCGGGGTGGGCAGCAAGTGGGAAGCTGAATGGAGGACCAGGAGGGTGCCCTGGGGGGACGAATAGTGGATGGGAGGAGGAGAAGGGAGGGTGGACAGGGGCTCAGACAGCAGTATCTGGCATTAGGGGAAGGATGGGAGGGTGCCGGGTGTACAGACAGATGGCACCTGGACGTGTAGACTGTGGTCAGATAGCTGGACAGCTGACCACATCCATGGGCAGAAGAATGGACAGAGGGAAGGAGGGAGGGCTCGTGGGGGTGGGGGTGTCGGGGAGGTGGGCACAGGACTAGGCTGGTGGAGTGCGCTGGTTAGATCTGTGATTGTGAGGGGCGTGGGCATTCCGCGGGCAGATGCAGGCTGAGGGGACAGGTGGGTGGATGGCTGGACTGGTGGCTGGGGACACTGCAGGATGAGTGGATTTGGGAGGGCACAGGAGTGACGGAGAGCACCTCAGGCCAGGCCTTAGGAGCAAACACGGCCCCACAGTGGAGGGGAGGAGTGTCTGGCCTGGCTGTCCTCGCCCGCAGTGACCCCTGGGCTCTGGTCCCTGTTCACCCCGCAGCTGGATGAGGCCCACAACCAGGCGCGCAAACTGCAGCGGTCCCTGGACGAGCAGACGGAGCAGAGCGAGAACCTTCAGGTGCAGCTGGAGCACCTGCAGTCCAGGTAGGCCACAGGGGTCTCAGCTCGGCCAGGGCCCGCGGCCCAGGTGTGGCCCAGGGAAACCTGCCAAGCCTGGAGCTTCCCCAGAGCCACAGCAGGGACGGGGAAGGAAGGGTCCTGGGGCCCAAATCCTGTCCCTTCCAGGCCGGAAGGGCCAGGGCCAGGAAGCCAAGGGGGGTGCAGGAAGCCACAGCAGCTGGAGGCCTGGATCGGCAGGCTGTGGGCGGGAGCAAGGGCAGGAAGCCTGGCCAGAGAGGTCAGGCCCGAGGAGCAGAGCCCTGGGAGGGCCAGCAGGCTGGGCATCGTGGACAGAACAAGGAGCCCCCAGGGCTGGGGTGACTCCAGGCCAGCAGGGATCTGAGGGTTTGGAGGCCAGGGAATAAGGCCCTGCCCTAATATCAGGCGAGACCATCAGTGCCAGCAGGACCATCAGCCCCTCCAGTGAGACAGAGGGTCCCTGACAGAGGCACACTCTGCCCTCCGAGAGTCACACCTTCTCCCTGCACTTCCCCTAATGCCAGGAGATGGTGGAGAAGTTCAGGGCCTGCCCTCCCCATTCCCACAGCTGGGAAGCCAGGGCCACAGGACTGACCCGCATCCCTCCCTGTGCCCAGCCCTGGCCAGGCCGTCACCTGCCTTCTCCTACCTGCAGCCAGGCTGCCTGGGTGGTGGAAGGTCCATGCTGTGTGCTGAGGCTTTGGGTGGTCTTAGGTCACTTAACGTCTCTGTCTCAGTTTCCCCAACTGTAAAATGGGGGTGAGAATAGTTCTCACCTCGTGGCCATTGGGAGAATTCAGTGGGCTGATTTATGCTTATGAAAGCGCCTGGCGCAATCAATGCTGATCTAACTGCTGCTGTTACTACCACCATGACTACCCCGGCTGCCGGTTAGATACTGTGCCAGGAGCAGCCTGTTCCTTCTGAGAGAGAAAAGAGGGGCGGGGTCTTTTTTTCTAGGGGGCTGGCTGGGGAGAAAACTAAGGCCCAAGAGAGAAAGCCCTTGCACAGCCACGCAGATGGCGGGCGGCCCTGCAGGGTCACCCCGTCATCAGCAGCCCATATTTATTGAGTATGTATTATGTGAGGCCGTGCGCTCAGGTCTCATGGCTGAGAGTCCCGGCTCTGGACAGCACTGTGCCGTGGCTGACTGAGCCTCAGTTTCCCCAGCTTCCTGAGATGATGATGCCCTTGGTGTCGTGCAGGGTCCCGCCAAGGGTCAAGCCCAACGTGGGCGGGCTCTGCCTGTCCCATGCAGCGCGCACCCCTCCAAAGGCCGCCTAGTCCAGGGCTTCCCCGCAGTCTCAGCCACATTCTTCCGGGCCATAAACTCTCACAACAGGCGGGCGCCTCCCTGGGGCCGGGCAGGGCCACCCTGCACGGCTGCCTCGTTTTAGCTGCCCACTCGTTATACTTTAATGTCCGGGGACAGCTCACAAATCACTGCGCGGTAATGGAGCGCAGGCCCCTCCCCGCCTGTTAATAATTCATGCCTTCCAGGAAGCCGCCGAGCGGGCGGGGCGGGCGTTTCCTCCCTTGGCTCTCGTTGGAGGCCAAGTTGGCCTCCACGTTTTTGGCTTCAGGAATTTTGACAGAAGCACCTAGGGCTGAGCACCTTCCCGCTGACCTTGGGAAGGTGAGGGGCTCAGACCCCCCTCCCTCCCCCACCTCCAAACCTGGCTCCTTCTGCCCTTGGAGGCTGGCCTGGGACCCTGGCCCTGCAGTGTCACCTCAACCAGGTCCTTACCTCTCCAAGCCCCCTCCCCAGAGCCCAGCCCCACAGCTGCCCTTCCCTGTGACTGGGGACGGTCACTCAGTGTCTTTGGGCCCAGTTTCCTTGTCTATAATTAGGCTGACAGTAGCTCCTCCCTGAGTCCCCACCAGGGGCAGAGCCGAGGTCACATAAGGTGCTGGCAGCCGCTATCAACCCAACTGCAGCCACTTTATCAGGAGGTGGCGGACTCCTGCTGACCCGTCACCCTCTGCCTGCCGCAGGCTCCGCAGGCAGCAGCAGAACGCACCCCTCTTCGGGAAGATCCGCAGCACCCGCTTTGGCACCGAGGAGGCCGGGGATGGAGCCAGTGACCTAGATGAGGACGAGGACCTGCAGATCCAGGTGGCCTAGGGCTTCCCAGGGCTGGGCAGGACTGGCCGGAAGCCACAGACCCCAGGCTGAGCAGCCACATGAAGGGGCACAGCTGCCTGTGTGTGCCGTGGGTACAGATGCGGCTCCCACCACGGACTATCCCTCCCTCCATGGCCTCACAGGACGCCTGGGGAAGGGACTCCTGCCTCACGTATGTCCTATGCACGTCCAGGACTGCGTGGGCCATTGGTTTTGTAAACACAGGACCGCTCAAGGCCCAGTCCAGGTGACGTCAGCATCCAGGATTTACGCAGGGCGGAGCCTGTCCGGGGAAGGTTGCTGGGGTCCCCACTGGGCTGCCTTGGTGGTCTGGCAGGAGCTGTTCATAATACGATGTGACGAACCCAGTCTTTTGTAATAAATGGAGTTCAAAATCTTGGGGCAGAGTCCTAAATGTGTGGCTGACCCAGGAGGGGACATGGGGGTCAGCGTCAGCCTGCACCTGACACTGAACCAGAGCTCAGGAGCATCGAGTGACATGATAAATGAATGAGCCCACCGCCGTGTCGCATGCCTGTAATCCCAGCAGCGGCTCGGGAGGCTGAGGCCGGAGGATCTAGAGTTCAAAGCCAGCCTCAGCAACAGCGAGGCGCTAAGCAACTCAGTGAGACCCTGTCTCTAAATAAAATTCAAACTAGGGCAGGGGTGTGGCTCAGTGCTCTAGTGCCCTTGAGTTCAACCCCCAGTACTCCCCCCAAAATAAATAAAAATTTAAAAAATGAATGAATGTGAGAAGGGAGGAAGGCGCATCCTAGCTGGAAGGAAGAGATGCTGTGCGCAGCCATGTGGAAAAGTGGAGACTGCACTTCTGCTACCTGGTGGTTCAAATTTCTACTCTGGTCCTCACTGGCTGTGCAGTCTCAGGAAAGTTACTTGTCCTCTCTGAGCCTTAGTTTCCCCAAGCGGTCTCACACAGTGACAGTCGTCAAGAGAATTTGATGAGTTTCTCCAGAGCTCCATAAAGGTGAGTTATTATCAAAGCACTTGGGGGTCTGCCCTGGACAGGAGGGAGTGGCCAGCTGGGCACAGGGATGAAGTGCAGGTGATCAATGGCTGCTCACCCAGAGGGAGGTGTGGCACAGTCAGTACTGAGTTTTAGGCACATTAAACATAGACACAGTAGTCATGGGGAGCCGTGTCTGTACCCTAGCTCTGCTCTAGGAATAGTAACATTACAGGTAATTTTATCTTATTATTTTTTAAATTATAATATTTTTATGGCCACAAAATTATAATGATTTTTATTCGTTTACCTTTCTGTGGTGCTGAGGATCGAACCCAGGGCCTCACACGTGCAAGGCAAGCGCTCTGCCACTGAGCCCCAGCCCCAGCCCTTATTTTATGTTTGATGTTTCATTTTGAAACCTCCCATAGCCAGAAGACCATCGCATCCCCGATGGAGTGGTCATCGGGAACACCCTAGTGGAACCTTCTAGTCGAGGTGGGACTCGGGGACCGGCCCCTGGGGTTGGAGTGCCTTGGGTGGATTCCCGCCCCTCCAGCCCCCACCCTGAAGTCGCCACCAGCAGGGAAGGGACCATTTCCTGCCAAACAGGAAGCTGGCCCCAGGAGGCTCAAAGTGCTGCCCTTTGACCCCAGGAGCTAGGAGCCAGACCCTTGCTGGTAGCAGCCCTGGGAGCCACCTCCACCTGCCCGGCCACCCCAGACACAGAACAGGCCCCTTCCCGGCTCCCAGACTGCCCGGCACCTGGGCGAGATGGGGTTGAGCAGGGCCCTCTACAGCTCTCCCCCTAGTCTGCACCCAGAATGGCAGGAAAGGGCCGCCTCCCACCCCACTGCGGAGGGGCAGCTCGGCCGGGTCCCCTGGGTCCCTGCTCCAGCCCCCTGTGCTCCCCTCCCTACAGCAAGCCTCCCAGTGGGTGGGGCGCAGCGCCTGCCAGAAGAAGCATTAGCTTTGGCTCAGATGATGCTTTAAAAAAAACCCTTTAATGCATGGCTAATATTAGTAATGGGAAGTTTTCACATAAAAGTGTGGGTTTCTCTCTCCTAAGGCATCAGCACCTCTGACCACTCCGGGCTCCCGCTCCCCCACGGCCAGAGCTGCTGGGCAGAGAGATGATGTGTCTCCTTGGAATGCTGCAGGCAGTCCCCACCCTTATCCGACCTTACCTGCACCCATCTTCCCTAGATCTCTGCCCCAACCTTACAGGAATTTGAGCGTGGTGCCCCCTCTGGCTGAATCCAGTTTCCCTTGGAACAGGGGGGAGCCCTGGAGTGACCGAGAGGAAACACACGGAGCCAGGTCAGCGCCAGATACAGTCAGGACACGTGCACATCATGCCCGGCTCAGCACTGCCCCAGGCTCCCGACAGCACAGGGTGACTGCCAAGAGCCACACTGGGTGCCTCACATGCCGTGTGTCTTGCTGATCTCTCCCAACAGCCTCAGGAGGCGGCTATTATCATCACCAGCCCAATTTATGCTCAGAGAAAGCAAGTAACTATCCCAAGGTCACACAGCTGATGAATGATCCCATGAGACTGGGATCCCAGGTCAGGCAGTCTGTGTCCAGAGTCCACCCATGCCACCCTCCAGGCAAAGCTACAAACGGCCCCTGCACCCCACCCACTCCACTGCAGCCTCAGCCAGGCCCAGCCCTGCTCATTCCTAGAGTACTAGTGGGTTGCTGCCTGCACAGTGCCCGGGGTTTAGTGGGGATCTTCAAGTGTTAGCAGAGAGAGAGGAAGAAGGGAGAGGGAAATGGTGATGGATGGTGGAGGGAAGATGGGTGGTGGAGATGGTAGAAGGCGGAAGCTGGAACCCAGCCCCTGGCAGGGGCTAGACAGCTGCTTTTCTCCTAGAGGGCAGCAGCCAGGGGGGCACGAAACGCAGCAGCCCCGGGCAGCGGTGCCAGGGCCTCTCCTCCAGGCCTGGAGTGCCCAGACTGGCTGCAGAACCAGTGGGGCCAGACCCGGCCTGACCGGCCTCCTCCCCTGCAGTCTGCCCTTACTCTCCAGCCAAGGTCATTTTGCCCAACCTGACTACCAGGCCGCCCCTCCATGGTCCAGAGCCAGGCATTCAAACCACAACCCTCCAGACCAATGGGGCTTCTGACCCAGGCTGCTCTCCGGGTAGCTGTGTGTCTTCTACTAAGCTGCCTCCCCTCTCTGGGCTTTGGTTTGCTTATCTGTAAAATGGGAACCACAACGGTCGGTCGACCAAACCCACATCCAGCGTGACTTCGATGTTCATGTTACCTTTCTGGCCTTTCCTATGGCTGTGCACTCCCCTGCAAGACCCCAGGAGCTTGTCTGCCCCGAGACTTCCAGCCCCTCCAGGCCGAGCCCCTGGGGCCGCAGGTTGGGGGCTGGAGGCAGAGGCAGGACCCAGGAGCCAGCTGCAGCCCTCAGCCTGCCCCGCCCCCACGGGGCTCCTCTGCCTCCTTCCCTAATTGCAGGGTTGCTAGACGCCAGCTGCCTCCTGGGCCCCAGGCGGGCGCCTCCCAATGGAGCAGGGGCTCCCTGGACCGGCTTCCCCTGCCCCCTACAGCTGGGGAGGTTCCGTGCTCAGAACCCTCGGCCTCCTCCCCTTCCCACTTCCAGCCTCGGCCCCCATCCTCCTCCTCCAGGAGCCCTGGTCTCCCCCTCTCCCATCAGAGGACCAGCCACTTTCCAGGGCCCCACAAGTGCCCCAGACGCTGGCTCACCCTGGAGCACTTTCTCCCAGGGCTCTCGGTGCCTGTCGCTCTGAGATACAGTCCAGACGGGCCCTGGGGGAGCCCCTCACCCCAGCTTCCCCAGCACCGTCTCTGCAACTGCTCATGGCCCCGTCAGACTGGACGCCACATGCCTTCACAGGGATGTGGGGACATGCCTGGACTGCCCCACTCTGGAGGACAGGGATAGGGGTCCTGCCTGCGGGAACCGGAATCTCCCCATGAGGGGAGGGACAGTGTCAGCTGGGCTCAAGCTTCTCCCTTCTGCCACAGAATAGCAATCTTCACAGCTGCCCAGGGGATGGACCACAGCGAGATGGGGAACCTGAGGTCCAGAGAGGGACGGGACCCACCAGCAAGTGACAGGATTAGGGTTCAAATCCCCTCAACTCAAAGAGCTGGCATTTGGGGCTACAGCCTTCAGCCCAGGTCTCAGCCTGGTCCCAGCAGGTTCTGGGTAGGTGCCAGGGAGAAGGGGAAGGAGGGGCGGGGAAGTGGGGGACAGAGCCAAAGGGGCACCAAGGAGCTGGGGGGATGTCCCCAAGCCCTGTGCCCCCAGATCACTCCGCAAACCCTTCCTCATCCCGAGTCTCACCCATCCTCATTACCCAGTTGCAAACACTAGCCACATGGCTTCTCCCAGGGTGCCTAGCAACTGCATCCTGGGAACCCCAGATACTCCCAATAGGATTTTAAAAAAATATGTTTTAGTCGTCACTGGACCTTTATTTTATTTACTCATATGTGGTGCTGAGGATTGACCGCAGAGCCTCACACATGCTGGGCAAGCGCTCTACCACGGAGCCTCGACCCCAGCCCCTCCAATAGGATCTCAATCCGTTGCCCCTTTATTAAAATAACTCAGGAGCATATAGATCCGTGACGGACCATTTGCCCAGTGTGTGCAAGCACCCAAGAAATAAATTTACAAAAACTCTAGAGAGAGGGCACCCCAACCCGATGTGGGTTCTCCTCCCTGCTAACGAAGCAAGAACTCAGCCTCTGAGCCTCAGTGTCCATGGTTGAAATCTGGGGGTGTCCTGTGGGGATTAGAAGGAGGGGTCAAGACCTCAGAGGTGCAATTGTTTGTCGGCCTTGTCCAAGGGCACCTGTCCTGACCCGTGTCCCCGCCACCCCCCATTATCCAGGTGGGGAAAGTGCCTTTGTTCAGCTGGGCCAGGGATCCACGGTCCCCCATCTGCGGCTGCAGACTTGGCCCCACCCAGCCGCTCCCCTGCCCCAGCCAATCCCAGGAGCCTGCCCCTGAGGCCTGGGGGCTCTTCACTGCAGGAAGGGCTGTCACCTCAGAGAGCACCCTCCCCTCCCGCCCCCTCCCTTCCCTGTTAAATTGGAGTCAGGTGTGGACCCAGCTCCTTGGGAACTTGGCTGTGGGAATATTGCATCAGATAGAGCTTATCTGATCCCGTCCCCAAGGGGGGAGGGGGGAGCTGAAGATGCTGCCAAGCTAAGAGGGGTGGGGCCCAGAGAAAAGAGGTGCAGCCTGGGAATCGGCCTCTGTGGTTTCTTGGGCTACTGCCCTGGGTGGTCGCGTTGTTACCTGCCTCGCAGGTGAGAAAGCCAAGGTGAGGCCTTCAGCAGCCTCCCTGGGCCTCACCGCAGCTAAGAAGCAGGACTGAACTAGGGCCACTCCCAGAGGCTCACGGGGTTCATTGAAGGAACCACACACCCTTCCCTGGCCTCC